TCAAAAGAGATTAAGTTCCTTTCAGTCTTTAGAGGTTTTGGTCTATTTTTTAGGCTAAAAGCTTGGCTTAGCTTTATTTGAATTGGCTAAAGTTATGCAACATAACAACACTACTGGCAAGCTTTTTTAAAAAAATTTGCTCGGCCCGGTTCTTCATATATTTTGCACAAATTGATGGGCCCAGCCCGAAAACATTATTTTTGACTTCTGGCTAAATTGTGTCGAATTCTATTGTATACCATCTAAAACCTAGTGATGAGAACATTATATTTTTGGAGGAAAATAAAAAGGGATATAAAATATAATTATATGATATTATACTACTATTTTTTTTTTAAAAAAATAAAACATTTTAAATACTTAGGAAATAGATAGGTAGAAAAAATAACCAAATTTAAGAGAATCTAAAAAAAAAAAGAGGAGATAATGGAAAAACAATAATATATATTACATAATCAAAACTATAACTATATTATATTATATATATATATATATATATATATATATAAAGATTTTATTAAAAAAATACACTGATATCTGATAATACTTTTTTGATATTCTCTTCAATTATAATTAATAATTTATTAAGTCCCTTTATTTATTTTTAAAAGCTTTTATTTTTTAACATTTTATAGAAAAAAATCCTATCTCCTACTTAACTGATATTAAATTACATTTTCTCCAAAAATATAAAACAAAAAAAAATCTCAATTTATAAGTGTAATAATATAATTTACCTTTTATATTTTTTTTTGTTTAAAACAATTTGCGTTTTTTTGTTTTTGTAAAAAAAAAAAATTTTTAATTTAAAAAAATAAATTAAAACTTCGATCACTTAATGGGTTTTTTTTATTTTTTCAAATAGAGAAAAAAAATTATTATTTTTCACCTTTAGATTTTTTTCAGAAAATGATAATAATTATGCAATTAATATTATGTTTATAAATTATAATTATTTGTTAATGTAAATTGGTGTAAATTTATAAAAGGTTAAGGTAATTAAATAAATTTAATATAAATTAGCCCTAAGAAGGTTTGGAATAAAAAAAGAGGTAATATGTAATGTATTAAAATGATGTGGTGAAGAGGAAAAAGAAATAGCTCTCTTATATTATAATGAATCAATAAATGATGGAAGTTACATGAGTAAATCATGAAATCATCGGTGTTGCTTCAAAGAGGAATCTTTTGATATTTTTTTTAAGATTTAGCTTTAGATTCAGCAGGGATAGGAATCTTATAACTATGTTTCTCAATTTCAATTTTTGCACTATAACTTTTGATTTCGAAGTTATTCGCAAAAAAAATAACAAGATATATTATTCTCAATGTATTTTTTTTAAAATACGACATAATTTTTGTTAGCATTTTCCCTCAGATCTGCCTTTAATATTTATTCATAGGGGTGTCAGGTCAATTTTATCATCATCTCGATAATTTTCTTTAGCAAGCTCAAATTTATGAATTTTTTTAATATTGTATTGATATTATAAATAATGATAATATAGTTTACATTCTTAGCATAAATTTGTTTGGAAATAATACATGCCATATAACATCTACTTTTCTCTTTATCTTATTCTACCGTAGTTTATTTAAAAATGGTCAGAAATTTCCTCTAATCAGGTTAACTCTTTAAATATTACCTTATGCCATTCTCTATTTTTTTTAATCAGTCTATTCCTTATTTGCTTTCCATAATACCACCATACAACGCTTCCATATTTTTGTCAAAATATTGAGCATCTATCCACGGGGGTACACCATTTTATAAGTCTTTCACTTAATCTCACTATCATGTCTTCAATCTCTTATAATTTTACAGTCCGCTTTATGTTTGATCTCATAATCCATTAGTTTTCGGTCAGAATTGCCATCTTCGTGATAGAAAATAGTTTAGAGATAACAAGCCAAGTTTTACACCCCTCCCAATCAAAATATTTTTTTTTCCTACGCCCCTAATCCCCCAGGAAACATATGGCCATGAATTCTGATATTCAGCCTCCCCCTCTTTCATATAGACACAGGTCACCCAAGCTTTAAACTAGCTCTTCTTTATAATTTAATATCAATCCAAACAAAAATGCCGGCATTATTACCATCCTAACTTGCTCCTCATTTTTTAAATTTTTTTTATACCTGTAAATTTCTTTAGATCATAAAATAAGTATTGAGGATGTGTCATGGTCAACATATTACTAAACCGCCAGCTGTTTAACCGGCTATGTAGCTTCAAATAGGCAGTCTAAGAGAAAAAGGGTTGTATATATGACCGGTCAAATATGATTAGGTCAATTAATCGGTCAAATACATTGGGTTAATTGACCGGTCAAATACGATTCAGTCAATTTACCGGTCAAATTTACATGTTTTAAAAGACAATATTTACTTTATTAAGAAAAGAAAGTAAAAAATATAGTAAAATAAATCTATAATATTAATTTTATAATATTTTTTAATTCATTGTCATTCAATAATTAATGTTTCGCAGTGGCCGATTATTGTTCTGATTCATATATAATATTTTTATTTTCTTTGATATTTTTTTAATCCTGTTGTCGAGATCTTCAATTTATTTCTGTTTTAATAAGAATATTTACCAAAATCTTTAGGAAGAATAGGTAGAAATAGGAATTGTTAATAAAGTTCAATTTCTATTAATGGGCATGGTGAAAAAAAGCTCATTCCACTAACTTAAGGCCGGAATCTAATTGTTTTCCATATAATTTGCTTCTGATATTTATGATGTCACTTGAAATATTCTGATCATACACTTTGTAAAATACCTAATTCTTGTATTATATTAAATATTTCATGAAATTCACTACTGAAAGATGCTACCTATCCCTTTGATATTGGGGACCCAATAAATAAGCAGCGTTGTGTCCACATGTATTTATATCATTTTTCTTTTTACAAACATATTTTTAATTTTTTTTTCTTCAGATTTAGGTTTTGACCAAGTTAGATACTCCTCCGACCAAATGACCAACTTGCCGAAAAAAACAAAAAATACGTAAAATAACAATGCTATCAAACACTTAAAATTAACAAATACAGGGTATCCTAGTCTAAAAATTGTTTAGTCTAGGCCAAAGAGACTAAACAAAATAAGTATCAAAAATAAGTCGTATCGGAAAACACCCTGCAATCTTTTTTTTAACACTTATTTTTACAAAATTAACTTTGCACATACTTCATTATATTTGATTGATAGTCTTTGTAATTTACTAAAAATCTCTAATACTGAATAAAAATCTGGCATGTTTGACTTGCACAGGTTGGATCGAGCCCAAATTTTTTAAAATTTAAAAACCTGAACATCCCTATTGAGTCCCATTTTGACTGATGCTCTAGATTTCAATTTGAGTTATTTTTTTTATCTAGTAATAATATCTCACTTTTCTTTTCCCATTTTTGAAAACCTTCATCCCTTTACTTCTCATCTAGATTTCAGTTGAATGTTACCCCATGGTGACTAAATTGTCTGTTTTTTTTCATATCAAACAATTTCCAGTCATATTATATTGCAAAGGATGAATTTTTTATAAATAACTTATTCCTTTTTTAAAAAATGTTGCCTCATTAATTTTATAAGGTATGAAAAAAATTTCGATACCTAAAATTAATCTTAAACAAATTACCCTGATCTAATCTAAAAATTATTTATTCCTATTAAAATCAATGAGGATGCAAAAGAATGAATATATATATATATAATTATATAGAGAAATAGTTGTTTGCTGAAAATATCCATTTTGTGGGTTATTCTTCCAGAGGATTTATCCAAAAATTGGTTTAGAAATTTCAAAAAAAAAACTACTTTAGACATTAACATACACACGATATTTTAAGATTCTTTTATATATAAGTATAATAAATCATTACTACTTGTGTATACATTCCAAAAGGCAAGCTAGAAAGCTGGACAGTGAAATGTAAATAAATGTATTTTTTTCACACAATAAAATAAAATGATTATTCTATGTGCATAAATATCTAGTTTGCGCACAATAAAGTTGGCATCATCAAAATACATGGATAGGAAAGAAATAATGTTAAAAGTGAATTTAAACCAAAATATTTTAAAAAAATTATGTATCTTTTGCAGGGATAAAAAAAATACAAGATTCTTTTGTAAATAAAATGACTTATTTCAAAAATATACAAATTATATCTATATAAAAGGATCTTGTGTCTTAAATGTGAGTATTAACGGTACTACCAAACTCTGAATACTACTATTTACGTAGTATGGTTTTGTAATATAGAGATTACGATTTATAAGATAAAAATGAAAGCCACCATACAAGGTACAAATTCGTTAGTAAACAATAAAACTTGCCATTTTAGGTTTTTTACAATCTGAAGCAAGCGACTATATTAACTTATTTAAAAGAATATATAAAAGTTAAACTTTTAACAAACATAGATTATATTTATTTTTTTAAAAAAGAAATAATTGCATGTAAATTTTATTTTAGTATATTTTTATTTTCCGTGTCCAGAATGAATTTCAAGTTTTTATAAGTTTATTAATAAAATATTACTTAATTAAATTTGAGTTCTTAACCTCGTGCTTAAAATGTGCAATTATTTGTTTTTAAATTTAAGCAATAAAGTGGGGTAATGATATAGTGGATTCGAATCAAGAACTATCGGGATTATGATAAATGTATAGAAACAACTAGGCCCACAGACGTTACTTGAAGGTATCAAATTTTTTTGTATATAAGAATAAAATACAATGCTATCTTATATTTTAATAAAACACATAAATATTTAATAACGTTCAAAACTATTTTAATCATTACCCTAATTATATAACATATTAGGTAGTAAAATTCTATATTGTCTATTCTTTATACAACAACGCATAAAAAAATTAATGTAAAATTCTGATAGGATAAATATGTCTTAAATAAATAGCTAAACAATTTAAATAATTTTGTATAACAATTAAATAATTGAGCAATTTTTTATAAATATCATAGAGAAATTCATAATTCTCTTTGAGAATTTACGATGGCTGCCAAATCATTCGGACTTATATTTCCACCCGTTAAAACTACTACAACGTTTAGTTTAACTCCTGAACCATCTTCGTAAAGTGCTTGTTGGACCCTTGGCTCACTACTAGCATCGAAGAATGGCGAATATTGAATGTAATCGTTAGATAATGGCCAAAGGTTCTCAGTTTTATCCTCGATGATTTCTTCGTAATCACCACCACGATTAACGGGTAAATCGTTTTCCTTAGCGGCTTTCAAATCGATTCCGGGAACTTTTCCGTGCATTAAAGCGGCTAAGGCGGCGCAACCAGATGGCTCTACGACTAATCCCGTCTCATAACACTTTGCCATGCTCGCTTTTATTTCTTCGTCGCTTACTAAAATGATGGCATCAACATTGCGAGAACATATATCGTAAGTTATCTTACCTTTAATAAAATAATGAAATTAATTTCGTAAAATATCGTTTCAACACTTGTAAAGTTTTACTTTGGAAGAAATTCAAAATAAATAGTTACGACGAGCCGTTTAACAGAGTTTATGCGTAAACGTGTTCCACATAACTGATAATATTAAAATAAGTAAACCTTTTCTCTTTTTTTTTGAGTTAGAAGCTTGAAATTATAATTTACTACGAATCTAATCAAACTCTAATTCTATATTTGTTAAAATATGAATAATATCAGAGACCTGCAGGCCCGGCCCTAAACCCGGCCCCGCCCTAAGCCCGACCCGGGAACCGTATTTTAATTTTTAAAAAAAAATAGGCGAAACCAAATATTTTAAAAATATCCGGGCCGGGCCTGAAAATATAAAAACCGGGCCCTGGTCTAAAAATCTGTTGAAAAAAACCGGGATGGGCAGTAAAATGGCACCCTTGCAGGTCTCGGAATAATATGGTAGGGTAAAACTGAATTTTAATATATGGATTATAATCTTTAAGAATCAATGTCCCTCGACATAATTATGTAGTTTTTCTTTCTTTCTATATTTCTGTCTTTTTTTCTACCAGTTTAGAATCGAGAACTCTTTTTCATTTATTTGGATATAAATTAAAATTTTTAGAAATAAAATAACTTTCGTATTATTTTATAAAGGGATAAAATCATGAACTCAGAACATTCAGTGATATGGATTACAAGGGGAACGGAACATAATTTTTGGGGAGGAATGGGAAAGGAAGAAAAATGCACTTGTTTTCGAGTTCCTGATAAATATTATTGTTATTGTTAATGCTAGAAAATAATTTCTATCTATTTGTGCCATAAATTATTGTATTCACCCTTAAATCCATGACTTTTCCTACGTGGGTCAATAATTGGAAAATATGATTTTGTTGGTTATCATATATTATTATTAGCTGATCTTTTGATATTTTTCCAAAAAAAATAATGTAATTCGTAGTTAGTGTTATTATGATTTATATTGAACCATAATGGCGATTTATTATAATTTTTGGGAAATCCTTTCAAGATAATTATATTTCAGGGAACTATAAGTGGTTTTCATTAGGGGCTAAATATTGCTGCAGGACTTTTATAATGAGTATGTGCAATCTTCTCAGAGAAATTTTGTGTGATTAGGTTAATTCTAAAATGCTACTTAAGAAAATTTACTTTGTTGGAATTCTTATTTAAAGGTATGCATAAGTTCAACAATCTGAAAAAAAGGTGTGCAATATCTTGGACAAACACCATATTGCACAGTAGATATTTTTATTAATAGAGCAATATGCTGCAAGATTATACCTTTTAATTTTCATTTATAAAAATATATAGCATTGTTAAGGGGCTCCATTTGAGCTAATATTTAAAAATGGTTAACTCAATATTTTATCTAGAAAAATATTAATTTTGCTCATAGATGACACAAAGGTTTAGATATCTTAGCAAATCTCGAGGCTGAGGTAGCATTCTGGCGAAAATATTGAGTTCATCGTTGTTCAAAATATACTCAAATTGAGCTGTTCTAAAAAAAATAATTTGTGCAATAATCAGGTCATCAAAAAGTAGATTGATTCATTTTTTGGATACTTTATTATAATTTTTTAAAATTAAGAAATATGGAGATAATATATATGGAGGCCAATCCGATCCGATATTAAATTGATATCGGCCGATTACCAATCCGATATCATATCTAATTTTGTATTCTATAAAGATATCAATGGTTAATTTTTAATATACTTTTTATTAGTATATCATCTATAATTTAACTATACCATAACATATGTCATTTAAATATATTATAATGATCAGTTATAGTTTATATTCAATTCAATTGCAATTCTAAAAGTATTATAAAATATTTTTATTGATAAATCACTTATTTATATAATAAGTAATAACATAATCTATTTAAAAAATAAGTAATAAACAAATATATTATGAAATTTGGAATAAATTTATAAATTAATGTATCGAAGATTTCTTTTTAGAAATACCAAAATTTCTAATTTATCAAAGGTCAGTCTGCAGCTATGGTAATGTCAATATCACCAGCTTTATCGCACACTTTTATAAACAGAATGAGCAAAAAAAATAACAATAAGGCAGAATGTTTATTAATTAATTATTATTTAAAAAAAATTAAACATAAAAATGAATTTCGATTTTATTTATAAAAATAAAAAAGGTTTTTTTAGATATAACTTTTTTTAAATATTATAATATTTTATTTTTGTTAAAAACGCCATTTTTTATCGGATCAGATCGGAAAATTTTATAATATTTGCCGATAACCGATATTGGATGAAATATCGATTAATGATATTATATCTTAAATATTTTAATATATTTATAATAAAGTAATATTCCATATTATAGCCATTTTTGAAAAAAATATAAGCTAAAATTTGGGAGAAGTGTACAATTAAGATTTAGTAGTGTGTATATATATTATAAATTTTGAAACAATAATTATTTAGAGATCAAAATTTTAAGCCCTTCTAGGATATTAATTCATTGAGAGATCAAAATTTAAGCCCTTCTAGGATATTAATTCATTGACATATATTTTTTTAATCTAAAAAATACCACTAAATATATGTCAATGAATTAAAATCCTAGAAAGGCTTCAAATTTTGATCTCTCAATAATTATTGTTAATTAATAATATATATATATACACTATTAAATTTTAATTGTACACTTCTCCCAAATTTTAGTTTATAAATTTTTCAAAAATGGACAGTATAATATGTAATATTACTTTATTATATATATAAAAAAATAAAAATTTACTAATTAAGATATAATATCATTGAAAAAAGATAATGGTGTATCATTTGAAAGTGTTTCTGTTGAAGTAGGTCAGCAGTAGTTTGATCCTTTGATTGAAACATCAAAGTATGATACAATCTTGACGTTTCACTTTTGAAAAAGGTATCTATTTGAATGATTCATGCTTTCCAAGCCTTCTACCATTGATAGTAGGTACAATCTAAAATAATATTAAATTATAGATAAAAATATATATTTTACTGGCTCTCGAATGGCACCCTTTCCAAAAGAGCCAAAAGTTTTTCCTCCACAAGAGCATTTGCTTTTGAACCACTTGCCTTTGGTCTATTTTCTTTAAGATTAAAACTATCTGTAATATTCCTGTCTTTTATTGAAGGCTCCATGAATTTAATATAATCATACTATCTGTATGATAATTTGGTACCTGATGATCCAGATGACTTTCCCAATTTATTTTGTTCAATTGATCTCTAAAATTTTTCAACTTCTTCTTTAAGCATGATACAGTTGTATCATGCTGTGGAAACTCTTTCTCCATGCTAATAAAAATATAATTTATTATTATTGTTTATATATATTTACCTTAAACTAATGTTAGATAAACCATCTAACACTAAGATTGAGTTTTTACGGTCTGGATTTCGCTGGTTCCAGACCATATCTTGCATCTCCAACAAGTTACAAATTTTTTTTGTAAGTTTATCATCTCATATTATAAAATGATAATAATATCAATTAATGTATTCTAATATTATATAAATATAAATGAATATATTCTAAAATTATATAAATATAAATGAATAAATTATATAAAATATCATTTAATATATTCTAAAATTATATAAATATCAATTTTTATATTCTAAATGTTATAATAATCAAATAATATATGAGATAAATTATACTTACAATTTTGTATCCATTTTAAATTTTAGCGCAAAATTAAAAAAGCATTAAAAAAATCAAACCAGATTGCTTTTTTTTAACGCTTGCCGTAAAAAAATCACTAGTTTGGTGCCCCCATTTTTGGTATTAGTGATAAATCACTTCATCTAACGCTTCCTATCATTTAATATTTATGCGGCATATTTAAAAAATAAATTAAAATAACTCAAATCTAATATAAAATTAAAAATATTCAAAAATCTATAGATACTACTGCTACAACCTCATATCCATACCATCATGCTACCCCAACCTTACAGGAGAAAGTATCCGCAATTATACAAAGTAGTATCTAGATAGAAGAAAATACTATCTTTCATATAAATTATAAATTTTAATATTTAATAAAACAACCTAATTCTCAGGCAGAATTTATCAATTTCGTAATAACTAGCAATACAAATTCAAGTATTTATAGTGCGCACAAATTGAGCGTTGCAACGCTCCGTTTTAAAATCTAATAATGTATTTTAAAAGGTATTGTGCAAATTGGATTTTTTTACGGCAAGCGTTAAAAAAAGCAATCTGGTTTGATTTTTATTGTGCTATTTTATTTTTGCGGGAAAATTTAAAATGGATACAAAATTGTAAATATAAATTTATCTCATATATTAATTGATATTATAACATTTAGAATATATAAATTGATATTTATATAATTTTATTAAATGATATTTTATATAATTTATTCATTTATATTTATATAATTTTAGAATTTGGGATGATAAAGTTACAAAAACATTTTGTAACCTGTTGGAGATGAATGATATGGTCTGGAACCAACAAAATCCAGACCATAAAAACTCGATTTTAGTGTTAGAAAGTCTAACTAACATTAGTTTAAGGTAAATATATATAAACAATAATAATAAATTATATTTTCATTAGCATGGAGAAAGAATACCCACTGCATGATACAACAGATCATGCTTAAAGAAAAAGTTAAAAAATTTTAGATATCCTCAACAAGATAAAGATGGGTAAGTCCTCTGGTTCAGCAGGCACAAAATTATCATACAGATGGTATGATTATATCAAATTCATGGAGCCCTCAATAAAAGATAGGAAAATTACTGATAGTTTCAATCTAAAAGAAAATATACCTAAGGCCAGTGGGTCAAAAGTAAATAGTCTTGGTGGAGGAAAGACTTTTGGCTCTTTTGGAAAAAGTGCCATCCGAGAGTCAGTAAAATATATATTTATCTATAAATTTAATATAATTTTAGATTGTATCTACTATC